TAAGTTAGTTCGGTCGCAAAATTGTGCTCAGTAGCTCGGTTGAGCGCACGTAGGAGTGCCTGGGCAACCTAAGTCTGCAAAGTGGAAAACAAAGGGGTTACAAAAACATGATCTGACCGTGCTACAAAATAAAAGCAAGAATAGGAGTCCTACTTCGGCTATGTGGATGCTACAGGTTCTATCTTGGTTTCAACAAGGTGCTTGGTAGCTCGGATGGATTAGTAGGTAATGTTAGACCGGTTGAGCGCCTAGGGGCAGCTTTCTGAGTTCGGTCTAAAAACTAAGAAAGCTGGTTTAGCCCCAAAGACCTAGATCGGTCGAAATTAAGGTTTCCCAGTATGCTAAGTGCAGACTTAGTTCGGTTGGATACCTCGGCTAAGGTCTATCAAGAAGTGGTTTGACTTATTGAAACTACTGGTACCAACATGGAGTGCTAGTTCGGTTAAGTAGTCTGATAGAATGACATCGACTACAAACTACTTTTTAGTTCGGTTATATGGTAATTTAGGATCAAACTAAGTGTTCTGCAGACAGCTTCATGAAATTCATGGGGTTCTTATGAAGTTTTTCCCAGGAAACGTAAGGTAGAGCAAGAAAATATGTTTTGCAAAAACAGAAACAGTGTGCCAAGAATGAAAAAAAGCAAATGCAAAGACCACAAAAGCAAAACAGGTTTGAAAAACTTACCAGGTGAAGAGAAGGAAATGGAAGTAAAAAAAAGCAGCGAGCACAAGCTTCACAGTTGCAAAGGATGGAGAACAATGGAGGCAAAAGGAGAGAAGAAAGAGTGAATGGTGTAAGTGATTCAGAAACAAAGGGTTGTTTTGTGGAAAGAGAAGGGGCAAAAGGCGGGAACTGTTCAAAATTATGCGAAGTACGAGGGCGGCGTGACAGCTGCAATAGGCCAATAAGGGCGTGCCACGTGTCATGGGAAGGAGAAACGATTCAGTTGCTGTGACTGAAGAGACGTTTTGACCAGACAAGCAGAGCCCGGTGTGGAATGAGCTCGGCTGGATAGGCTAAAAGATTTTAGCTCGGCTGGAAAAGCTAAAGGGCTTGAGCTCGGTTGGAAAAGCTAAAGGGTTTTAAGCTCGGCTGAAAAGGCTTAAAAACCTTAGCGCGGCTGGTTAAACAAGTAATCCCTATCATGCTATGCATATGGAATTAAGGGGCAATTGAGAGGGTAATTTATATGGAAATTGGGCCGAGCTACGTAAATGGGTCGTTGTGGGCCTCAGTGCAAAGGGCTGAGTAAAAAGCCGTTAAAGTTACTCCGGTCCCAAAGAGGTTAGCCCGGTCACTATACTAAATCTTATATCGGTTAAGGCGCAGTATGGTTAGTTCGGTCTAAAAGCCTTGCTAGAAGTTAGATCGGTTTAGACTTAACACTGTTGACACAGGAGGAACTGGGGTAAGAACATTGAAGGTGGAACCGAACTAACGATAGTTCGGTCTACTCCGTGGCTCGGCGTGATCATGATTACTTCGGTTATATTGGAATTCGGCCATGATAAAAACCATCTCACTTGGTTTAAGCAGTGAGGGGGGTGTTGAAGGATAAGCATTATCTTTCAGGAGTATGAATCCTAGGAGGACTCTACATGGAGGAGTAAGAGTCCTACTTGGATTGTGCCACACGGAACCTATAAAAGCTCACAAACGTCACCTATGGAGAGGTAACACAACTTTGATTCTCGAATTCACAGAGCTTCTTGTCTACTTGTCTGTTTTTCTGACTTAGGCATCGGAGGGGTTTCGGCACACACCCGCCGGCTAGCTCACGCTTGTGTTTTCAGGGAGTAAAGTGACGTCGTACGGAGGAGCGCAGACTTGATCAACAGGATTATACGAGATGATTTATTTCTTTCCCGTACATGTGGTAAGGAAAAAAAAAACATAATAAAAAAAACAAACAAACAAACATACCGACCACACATCACTAGTAGACCTCACCCATTTAAAACTCCTCTAAAACTCTCTTTCTAAAACTCCCAATCTTTATTCATTGCTCTTCAATGACATTGCTGAGAAAGAAACCCCAATCCATTGCAAAGCAACTAAAGACTTGTCTCCCAACTCCAAAGACTTATTACGCTTTGCAAGTCTTTAAAGATTAGTTGTCTTCGAATTCTTCCATGTTCGTTTTCTTTATATCAATCTTTTCTTTTCTTCCCCATTTATAGCTTGTTGGTGTGGTGGAAATTTTTAACCTAAATCCATAATTAAATTTAATGGAACAAAATAAAAATAAATAAGTATTGGAGATACTCGTATAAATTGTTTTTATTGTTACTTAATAAGTAATGTACGACGAGTAAAACTTACCATTAATGATTTAATTTTTTTAGCAGGAAATCCAATATATGAATTTATTTCTTATTTATTTTTTCAATTCAAGACGCGAATAGTGACTCCCATGTGTGTTTTAGATTTGTTTGCGAAATTACAGTTTTTTAGTGTTTTTTTTTGGCTAAGATACGAAGTGAAAAAACTAAAGTGTTTAAAAATATTTTTTTAACTTTTTATGAAAAAATGTGTAAAAAGTGAAAAAAAAAATAAAAATAAAATTTTAACTTTTTATATTGATTTTTTTTTTTTTTTTTTTTTTTTTTTTTTTTTTTTTTTTTTTTTTTTTTGCTAATCTAACCACTTTGATGTGAATCTCATTGCATTGTGTTTAAAAGCGAAAAAATAAAATAAGAAAACATGAAAAGATGATCTATCGATTAAAGTTTGGGACAAATAACATCAAGAAGTCTAAAGCAGCTTCTTGGCCGAGACCCCTGATTGGCAATTTTCTTAGTTTGTGTTTTTGGCTTAGGCCCCATCGTGACCAAAAATAAAAAATGAAAAAATAAAATTTGACGTTACATGTTAAAAAAAACTCTTTTTAATCGACTCTATTAAAACTAACTTAAAATTAAATAAAAAATATAGAGTACATACATGTTCAAGGGAAAAGCCATTCAAAGAAAGTGCTGAAACTGGTAAATTCAACCCCAGTTTCTTTCACTATAATATGACTGCAATTCACAGATCAATACTTTTATTAACAAAACTCAAACCATCCCAAAGAAGACTGCAATATGTTGAAGATGGGAATGAAGGCGAACACAAGTCTTTGTTAAGGAAATAATCCAATCAAAGGCGTATTATAGAAATAGTTGTTTTAAAGAGTGTACAAGCACGCATTGCTACCCATGGTAAATTGAAACTCATTCATTCATATTATCCCAAGCCAACTACAATATTATATTACAACACTTAACAAAGGCACTCGGTCAGTCCCCTTTGTATAATTGTATTACATCTTTGCATGGTTAAAGAGAGAATTCCAGTGGAAGTGATTTTGCCTTGCTAGTAGTTAGAACGATCCTTATTCCATCACTATCGCTCGACCAAGAAATGTGTCCATTTTTGTGCTGACACAACATAGAAACATGTCCTTTTTTGGGCCGACGAGTAGGAGGAACTCTCTATGCATGTGAGTCCAAGAAGGAACCTCATTCTGTCTCCTAAAAGGGACATACCATCATGTGCTATTGCCGGTTGCTTTTGCCAGAGAAGTGAAGTTCAACCTGCACAAAAACAACACCAGCACCAACCAAAATAGTGCTAAATTAAACAAAATGACGTGATTATAACAGATTTTGCAATAAGAAAATCCAACCATGCCGATCTGATAGTCTGAACTTAATTGACAGATAAATCACCTGATAAATGGCTTCCGAGGGGCCACAGATGTAGAAGTGAATGCTAGGTTGGAGACCGGTGCAGCCAGCTCAATAGGCTTTATTCAATTAGAGGAGAGACAAATGTGTCAGACATGATCAATTTCAATATGTTCAGTTCAAATCTTGAAGATGGTTACTGGGTTTTGTGAAAAATGATATTTGTTATTGTTTGTGCAGTAAGAATTCTTCAAGATTGCCACATCTAGTGCCTACTGAATTGTTCCTACATGACACATACATGCAACTCAAATATGTACTGAAAACCTAACCGCAAAGGGGTTAAACGGGAAAAGAGTTTGAATTCTGTAGATAATAGGACCAAATTTAAGGCTCCATTTGGATACATGGATTTGATTCAAGAAGAATAACATTTATTTCAATGTAATATTCTAGTTATGGATTTTAACAATGTATTTGAGAGTTTTTAGATAAATGGATTTGAGATTTGAAATAACTTAAGTGAACATTGTTATTTGAAATCCTTTCATAAATGATTCTACTTGAGCAAAAATATTAACAAAACGCACCTTTCCTATATCTATGCATCATTTACTTTAAAAATATTAATCTATATCCATTAATCAACCTTCTTACAATTTTAAAAAGTTTTAATATTTCAAATCTACGTATCCAGATGGCTTTTAGTGTACTCCAGAATTTGAGGTTAATGAGTCCTCCCAAAATCACATCACATCACACACACACACACACAATGAGCAAAAACCCAAGCAGTATAAACCCATCAAGAAATTTACAGATATCAAATAACAGAAAAACAGGAAGGAAAATAAAAATCAACACTGAGCACACACTAAGATAAAAAGAGTTAGCTAACAAGACCTCAAGCTCCTCCAAGCTCACGTTCTGCAAGAACTTCGAGGAAGAACTGACGCCATTTCCTGCTGCTACAGCGACTTCTTGTTTGGCTGACGACATAGACTGCACAGGACAGACTTCCGTCCTCGCACCAAAACATTGAACTTGATTAGTCAGTACTGTATCATTTTCAAGCTCATCAAATTCTTTTGAAGGACTTATATGGCCAAAAAACGGTCCACAGGATTGCCCCATTACAAGCTTCTCTTCTATTGTGCTTGATGAGAGACTTGCAGAAGATGAAGAAGGCATAGCGGGTGGGCTGCATCTAACAGATCCTTCTACTTCCTGACCGTGGGACAAAGGATTCTCAGGAAATCTAGCCTTTTTTGAGATGTCATCTGTATCAGTTTCAAAGTGTTCTTTTGCTTTTGTTTCAACATGCAAACCTGCATCATCAGTCCCTGTTGCTTGACACAAGGGCTCACTTGATTTAGTTTCATCCCGTTTTCTCTTCTTCCCATTCACCGCAGGATTTGTTTGTGGAGGCCGAACTCCACCAGGAAACACAAAATGAGGAATGTTTTTGCGTCTTACATGACATACATGAATCCACATTCCAGGACTCCCGGACTGGTACATGCACACAGAGTGCTCAAATTCCTCCACTGTCGACCTTATATCAAATGGTTCACCTTTCTGAGCATTAGTGCCTTCATTCCGCCGTAAACCCATGAAATAACAACAATGCAATGGTCTGGATTTATCTACAAATTCACCAGGGTGTGGGTGGCACCGAAGCATGCTTCTTGTGTCCCTCTCAATCTAACATCAATTTCAAATGCCAATATGAGAATAGAGTGTCTGGGAAATTCTAGTGTTAATAATTAAGACAAGGGAAAGACGAATGTCACCTTCAAAGTAAGCTGGCGAAGACGAGATTCAATCCAACCCTTCCATTTCCTCAAGTCATCGTCATTCTCAGCTGCTATATCTATCTGCAAATAATTTTTATATGCATCAAAAAACTGAAAAGGCTCAAAGAGCGTCATCCAGCCAGCCTTATTATTCTCCATCTCCTGCAAATAATACATGAAATCATAAGAACAATTTTCCATAGAACAAACAAACAAAATCCATAGAGAGAGTGTGTATGTGTGTGAGATAAAGAGAGCAAAAAGCATATAGAGCTAGCTCACATCAGAATTAAAATCAGCAATCATAGCCACAAGAGTAAATGAGACTCTTTTAGAAGAAGATTCTTTTTTTTTTTTTTTTATCAGCCTCTTTTAGAAGAAGATTCAAATCAAATACGAAACCAAGAAGTCAATAAACCTAGAATTGTCAGGCCAATGAAAATGGGAAATTTAGCAGTTAACTTGAGGGCCACAAAGAATATACTTTTGCCTGGTGACAAAATCCTTTCCAACATGGTAAAACCAAGGTATCACATTTAGCACAATTAGACAATGTGATGAGAGGGCACAACCCAAAGACAATCAAAAGAACAAAAAAGAAAAAAGAAAAAGGAGCAAAAGACAAAATAAATCTAAGTACCAATCACAAATGACAAATACAACACAAAAAAGTAGATCAACCAGGTGCCAAATTCGCAATTCTCATCATCCTTCAGTACTTTCTAAAAAAGACCAATGCATTAGGCTCCGGGTGTAACGAATATAAGCCTATTAGGCATATCAGCCAGAAAATTACACAAATTAGGCCATATAGCCTGGATTTCTTCGTTCTTTTTTTTTCCCTCGGCTAGAGAAACCCCAGTGATGGGGGATGCACCACATATTTTACACATCACTAATTATAATAATATTTAATGAAATTTATTCATCAATGTACATGATACACCATGTGTAACGTTGTCACATCGGTTCATAGTGCTACAAAGGAGAGACAATGATTATTCACCTATGCATATATCTGGTCAATACACATCAAAACTATGCTATTAAGTTTCTCGTAAATATTTATATCAGAAAGCTAATATAATTCAGTACGATACATCAAGATACAAGAAAAGCAAAATTTTGAAAGCAAAATAAACTAGATTGTCATAATGTCTTTATATTCAAATGAACCAAATCATAAGAAACAGACTTATGAGACCAATATGAACCTTGCCCAGACACTAGTTAACAGATAAATATTGCCCAAGCAACACTGAGAGGGAGATTTATGATTTGGTTTGGGCCGTGATAATGGCCAGACAGATTTGGGCCGGACGGATTTGGCCGAACAAGGTTGGGCCGCGGTAACACGGCCCCATCCTTAGAGGCTTTGCTCGGATAAGGGAAGGCGTGGTTGGACCGGGCTGTTCGGCTTCACGATTTAGAAGCCGGTCAAGTGGGATGTTCGGCGCCAGGCGACGCGTGGTTGTTCCATGGTCCAAGAGTTAGCTCGGCAGGAAGGCTGATGGTAAGCCAGCGTGAGCTGTCCCGAGCTCGGCAATGTCGGGATGCAATCGAGCTCGGTCGAAATGGAGCGCGGCGAGCGGAGCGCTCTGGCCAACTGCACAACACAGCCGTTGACAGCCGAGATGCTGCAGCCCGGCTGCCGAGCTCCTAGTAGAGTGGGCTGGCAGTCGGGTTAGGTGATGTTTAGCAAGATTTGTGCTGACAGATGGGATAGCAGTACCACGTGTCGACAGATCACTGGAAGTAGATTTGGGGCGCAAAAGGTATATAAACATGTCTGCGCCCCCCATGCTTGAGAGATGACACAATTTGGTCAGGAAAACACAATTCAGTCCTCTCTCTCTCTCTCTATCCCTGTGTGTGTCTAACTTGATCGTCGGAGGGGTTTTCCGGCCACACACCGCCGGGTAGCTCACCGCCATTGTGCTCGCAGGTTGATTGGACAGGCAGGAGCTTGGAAGAAAGGAGTGCGGGCTTGCCTGAATATTTGCTCCCCGCACAATTGGCGCCATCTGTGAGAAACTTTGAAAGACAAAACCTTGTCTTCCAGGCTCATCTGATCGTCGTCCATAGCGAACAATGACTAGATTCCGTTGTCTGCCATCGACGGAGTCACCCCGGAGCCAGGCAGACGGAGAGAAGGGCATCCCACCATCGTTCCTCCGATGGCGGACCTGGAGACTTCTCCAGGAGGACATTCAAGAGATGGGCGGGATAAGCGCGGAAGAAGGTATGGTCATTCACGGAGTCCAGACGGTCATCGGCGACGGAGAGAATCACATGCCAGACGTTTGGAACACAAGTTAAGGGACCAGGACGCCGTCATCCGGTGAATGGCGGCGGAGATGGAGGAGCTGAAGCGGCATGTTAAAGGGAAGGGTGTAGCTGGAGTGGGAGACCACAGTGAGCGCACCCAACCCCGCCGTTCAGGCAGTTAGAGTCAGCGACACATTGCGTCCATTTCCATCACCAGAAGTTACATGGTGGGAGATTCCGACCTGCACGAAGAGAAGTCCAGCGCGCAAGACAGCACCTATCGACCCTCACGTTTGGCGACGACGTCGAGGTATTCTTATTCCGCTCGTTCAGAGGATTTGCGGGCAATCTTGAAGGAACGAGCTCGCCGGCAGGAGGCTCAGAGGGTGCCGGCGTTCCAGCGGCTATCCTATGGGGTTCACGCCAGCGAGGAGGTCAGAATGCCTCCACCCCACCAAGCAGCGCCACTCCTTCTAGATACAGACTTGGCAAGGCTGAGCGCCACCCCTTTCTCCCTGGAGATAGAAACAACACCGCTTCCGGCAGGCTTCTACCAGCCTAAATTCACATTCTACGACGGAAAAACCGATCCCTACATGCATGTGAGTCACTTCCGGCAGGTCATGGCCGGGCATAGGCGGAATGACGCACTTATGTGCCTTATCTTCCCGTCAAGTTTAGGCGAACTGGGCTTGAAATGGTTCGAGAGGTTGCCGGAGGGAAGCATAGAACGGTGGCATCTACCGCGAAAACAACTCCGGTAGTAGCGGACAAGAGGTCAGCTAGCAAAGTACACGTGGTCGGACAGGAGTCCAGCCGATCAAGTGACCGCGCTGAGGAATCGGACCGTGGCTCAAATCGCAAAAATCGGGGTAGGGGACGTCGGAATGACCGGGATGACTACCCCCGGAATGACGTAGCCGATGCAAACAGAAGGTTGAAAGCAAGGACAAGCATCACCACGGTCTTTAAGATTCCAATCTATCGCGTATTTAGTGAAATCCGTGACAAGGAGTATGTCCGGTTTCCGACTAAGTTAGGCGACGGACAAAAGGGCTTCAATCCAAGGTACCGTTGCACGTTTCACCGGGAGCGAGGCCACCAGACAGAGGACTGTTTGCCTTTGAGGCAACACTTGGAAGAGCTAGTCGCAGCCGGACACCTGGACCTTTACATTGATGGGGGCGTGAAGGCCAATCAAGCTCCGGTTGACCCGCGGGGACCGGATGATCGAGATGCGCCTCCATAAAGGGTTGTTAATGTCATCCACGGCATAGTGGAACCGGCACGTGTATGCGAGCTCCGAGGTATGATCAAGAAGGCAGAACACATGAGTACACGTGGTCGGACAGGAGTCCAGCCGATCAAGTGACCGCGCTGAGGAATCGGACCGTGGCTCAAATCGCAAAAATCGGGGTAGGGGACGTCGGAATGACCGGGATGACTACCCCCGGAATGACGTAGCCGATGCAAACAGAAGGTTGAAAGCAAGGACAAGCATCACCACGGTCTTTAAGATTCCAATCTATCGCGTACTTAGTGAAATCCGTGACAAGGAGTATGTCCGGTTTCCGACTAAGTTAGGCGACGGACAAAAGGGCTTCAATCCAAGGTACCGTTGCACGTTTCACCGGGAGCGAGGCCACCAGACAGAGGACTGTTTGCCTTTGAGGCAACACTTGGAAGAGCTAGTCGCAGCCGGACACCTGGACCTTTACATTTGATGGGGGCGTGAAGGCCTCAAGCTCCGGTTGACCCGCGGGGACCGGATGATGAGATGCGCCTCCATAAAGGGTTGTTAATGTCATCCACGGCAATGGTGGAACCGACGTGTATGCGAGCTCCGAGTTATGATCAAGAAGGCAGAACACATGAGGGAAGTTTTGTCGGTTCAGCTGCGATCAAGAGGGGAAGACGAAGAGAAAGATGTGATCAGTTTCTCTTCAAGAGACCTAGAGCGCATTCAGACGCACACAACGATGCCCTAGTGGTTCACACTCCACGTCAAAGAATTTGATGTCAAACGGATCTTGATCATATCAGGGAAGCTCGGTGAGATCATGTACTACGACGCTTTCAAACAGCTCAAGCTCCGAGATACAGATTTAGCCGGGCAACTTCGTACTAGTTGGTTTCAACTCACAACCGGAGTGGGCCTTTGGGAAAGATTATCCTGCGATCAAAGCGGGATCCGTGATCAAACAAGTGGAGTTCTGGGTGTTTGCAAGTGCCATCCACTTATAAATTTGATCCTTGGAAGGGGATGGCTTCACGCTATGCAAGTCGTAGCGTCGACCTATCTTAGGTAATGAGATTCCCCTCGTTTATGGGGCAATCGAGGAGATTTGGGGCGATCAGTCATGTCGAAGCATGCTTCGTGACGATCAACGGAGCCGACTGCAAAGCTTCGTTCAAATGATTGAGGGACCGGAAGACCGGGGATCCTTGACGATGTGGGCACCAAGGCCGAGGACAAAGCTGTCGAGGAATTGGTGGAAGTGCGCATTGATACAGACCATCCGGACAAGTTCTTCTTGCTCGGCTCAAGCCTTACAGCCAAGAAAGGACCGACATGGTTGAGTTTTTGATGGCCAACATCAAAGTCTTCGCATGGTCACTTCCGACATGCCCGGTCTCGATCCGAGTTTATATGCCATCATTCAATGTTTCCCGGAGCCACAGCCGGTCATTCAGCGAACAAGAGATCGGCGCTGCATCACGCCGAGGTAGTTGCGGAGGAAGTGAAGAACTTGCTTGAGGCGCGAGCAATTCAGGAAGTACACTACCTTCGGTGGATTTCAAACACGGTCATGGTGCCCAAGAAGAATGGAAAGTGGCGAGTTTGCGTTGACTACAAGACCATCAACCGAGCTTCTCCGAAAGACAGCTTTTCT